AGGTATTCTGTTAATGAGGTGGCTCGCATATGAAAGTGCCTCAGCCCAAAAGATCTTCTCCAAACTACTATGCGTCAACAAACATCGTATCTTCTCCAACAAAGACCAATTTAACATCTCTGTCATCCCATTCTGCTATGGTGTATGACTAACTGTGAAGTGTCTCTCTATGCTCTTGTCTCGACATAGCTGCTGAAAGGGGTCTGATGTGTACTCACAACCGTTGTCGTATCGCAATGTCTTGATCTTTCTCTCAGTCTACAATTCCAACCTCTTTTTCCACTCCATAAATATATCTAGGATTTCACTCTTCTTCGCCATAGTGTACACCCAACAACATCTAGAATAGTCATCAACAAACGTGACGAACCAATGTCTACCACCAAGTGATGCAGTCTTGGTCGGGCCCCAAACATCTGTATGCATATAATCCAGGATGTTCCTCGTCCTATGAATGGTTGTCCCGAATTTCACATTCGTCTTCTTGCCAAGAACATAGTGCTTACAGAACTCAACTTTTACACTCTTGGCTCCCTTCAGTAGCACATGCTTGCACAGCGCCTGCAGTGACTTCTCTCCTGTGTGCCCTAATCTGTAATATCAAATTCTGCTAATGTCCGCCTCTGAAATAGCTGAAGCAACCTGGCCAATCATGGTTCTCCCCTTCAGATAATACAAGTTCCGACTACGAACTCCCTTCGTCACCACCAAAGATCCCTTAGTAACCTTTGCTACAGCATCCTCAAAGGTCACCTTGAATCCCTTCGCCTCCAAAGCTCCAATTGAGATAAGATTCTTCTTTAACTGAGGAACAAATCTCACCTCCTTCAATTCATGGACTACCCCATCGTGCATCCGAATCCTCACGGTATCTATCCACAAATACCATAGGATTGATCATTTCCTATGACAATAACACCCCCATCGATTCTCTCAAATGATAAAAACCAATCTCGCCTAGGAGTCACATGATAAGTAGCGTCAGAATCAAGCATTCAATCTGATGCATCCAAGTGGTTCACCTCCAGAGTAATCAATAGAGAAATGCTTGAATCATCAGAATCATCGCCTTGCGCATTATTTACCTCATTGGCCTTCGGGCCCTTCTTCTTGCTATTCTTCTTCTCCTTGATCTTTGGATAGTCTCTCTTCTAATATCTCTACTCCTTGCAGAATGCACAATGGTTCTTTCCTAGCTGGTGACGACCTCTTGACTTCGACCTTCTTCTATTACCACCTTTTGGATATGGGCTTCTACCTCTCGTCGATAAGGCCTCTCTTGAAGTACTAGCGTAGGAAGTCTCTTTGTCCTTCCTCCTCAAATCATAGTTTGTCAAAGCATTAGTAACTTTACTATAGCTGATAGAAAACCTCACATTCAACAAAGTGAGCACGAAGGTATAATACTCCTCATTCGGTAAGGAGCCCAATAAAATAATCGCCTTGTACTCATCCGATATCTTCTCATCAACATTCGCCAAGTCCGACAATAACTTAGTATAGTTGTTCACATGAGCCGCTAGTAAGGTGCCTCGGGACATCTCAAATCTGAACAATCTTCGTAGCAAGTGCAACGATTCTCAACACTCTTCGTAATGTACTTATTATTAAGAATTTCTCACATCTTCATTGCAGACGTCATCCCAATCACATCATACTTCAATTCCTATTCCAAACAAGATCTGATCACCCCACAAGCGTTCATATTCATCTTTTCTCATATCGCCTCTTCATATTTTAGTGGTCTCTCTTGTACCATGATGGTCTCCTCTAAATTCTGAGCATTGAGCGCATCTTGAACGTCGCTCATCCACAAAGCAAAGTTGATCTTGTCGTCATACTTCACCACACTAATTTTGGTGTTCTGAAAACCAACTTGGACTATACTTGCCATCTTGCTGCTTTCACCAACTTCTTCACCCATACTCACAAACTCCAAATTGTAAAAAAAGATTCAAACTTTGAAAGAAATAAAAAATTATCCAACTGAACCTTAGATTGGATTCCAAATAGAACTCTTAACCACAAGAGGAAAGCGAGATCTCTAACGGTAACTTCAAATCCTATCTCCACCGAAGCCTAGAACTCCAAGAACCAAGCTTCCACGACGAATCTTCCTCCACCTAATGCCAAAATCCTATATCTGAAATCTAAGCTCTGATACCAATTGTCGCGCACCTATGCGAAAGCGTGCTCGCTCACCAAACAAATCGTAAGCACGGGAGAAGAATAACCAATCATACACGAGCACAATCCAAAACTGAAATACTAGAGATCAATCACAAACATAGAGATATACGTGGTTCGGCAATTTACCTATGTCCACGGGAAGAGGATGAGGAGTTTCCACTAAATTAAGGAAGTACAAAGTGTTACAATCTCACAAAAACTCACAAACTAACTCTCAACCAAAACTCTCAACTTGTTCACGATATCTCCCTCTCACAATGCTCAAAAGTCTCTCTAATCTTTAATTATAACTCTCCTCTTTTTGATATATATATATATAAAACCTAAAACTAAAACAGACTAGGAATTCTAAAACAAAAAACAAAACAAATAGGAATCCAAATAACCTGTTACCAAAACAGATTAATAATCATGTTACCAAAATAGATTAGGAATCCTAATTAATAACCTATTACCAAAACAGATTAGAAACCTGCTATTCAACACGTTTGTCATCGCCTTCACCCACATATCGAAGTTTTCTGCATTCAGAATGCACGTGGTGATCACCCCTCCCAGGTTATCCGAAGGATGAAAAAAATGGAGAAGACATATCCAATGCTTTCTTTTTGGCTGTGTTTCTCTCGTCATGATTTTGGCAAAGAAAAAAATGTAGTTTGATGGTGATGCAGTAGGCTTTAGGGAGAAGAAGGGGCGGCGGCTTTGGGTAGGGTAAATGACTTCCCTCAAAATTCACTCACCCTCTCTGATACTATAAAGGAACTGAGAAGAAATTTTCTTAATACCAAAACTATGCAGAGGATTACAACTTATACTATTGCATAACTAGATAACCACTTATCTTAACTACATATATCTCATATCTAATAATTAACCAACTAACTAAAATATCTTATCATCAACAAAGGACACGCAATCCAGGATTCTCGACATTTATCTATTTCATTATATAGACACATAATTGGCTAGATGGACAAATTTTCATAACCAACCTATTTTGAATTTTATTCCTAAAAACAGACCTATTTCAAACTTAATTTTAAAAACAGACCCAGTTGGCTGAAACTGTGTTTGTTTTTGAAAAAAAAATTTCCCAAACTTCACTGGAGTTGAACTCCCGTGAAGTTTTTTATATAACAAAACTTCACGGGACTTCAATTCTCGTGAAGTTTGAGATTTTTTTTTCAAAAACCGACCCAGTTTCTGTCCAACTAGGTCGGTTTTTGAAATTAAGTTTGAAACGGGTTTTTTTTTGGGAATTTTTTGACAAACAGGTTGGGTTTGAAAATTTGTCCTTGGCTAGATAGATGGTTGCAAGAAAAGTTTATACAAGTCACCCTCTGCAATTGACGGTTTTCACATACGGAATCAATGACTTATTTTTCTTCCTTCCTACTTGTTTACGATTCCCAAAAAAAGAAAAAAAAGAAAATCATAGTTAATTATGAACTATTATGTGATCGAAGATGACTCAGATTGCACTACACATGCAAAAAGAAAAAGTAAAATAATCAAGCCTGTTGAACATAAATTGAAACAGAGAGTTTCTTATATAAAAAAATTCATCTATAACACATTTATTTTGAATAAACAGGGGGATGATTTCTACTGTTGGTTTATCAAGTATATATAGGATGTTCAAAGTTATGGTGGTGATGTGCTTATTAAACTTGATTAATGATCACAGTTCATTAGCAAAATAACAAAATAAATAAAAATTAAAGAAAGAGATCAAACTTCATTAGCAAAATAACAAAAGGGAGAAGGTAAGGAGCTTACCTTGCTGATGGGTTCCTCTAAGAACTGCATAAAATCAAGAAGAAAGCTTTTAAAACTATTACTTTCAATAAAAATCAGAACTAACTGTAATAGGGAAGAACTAAACAAGAAATGTAACTGTTGGCAATCATGACTATTATTTTTTATTAGAGATGAAACTGTTGCATGAAGGGAATTTGATCAGTTTAGAGGGAGATTTAAGTGAGAATTTGCTCTAGGTCAGTCGCCACCAACTCGTCCTAAAGCACACCATACACTGTGATCCGAGCTCTACTCGACACGCCTTGTTCCTAACAATCAAATAAGATCAAATCTCCTCATGTGAGCTAGCAAATCCTAACTAATTCACGTGAGGGACTAAAGCACCATCATCAAGATCATTATTTCCATGGCATCTCCTGCTATCATAACTATATTGGCCAGTGCCAAATAGACGAGTGGACAATTTGTTTATAGAGTAAGCTTCCTCATTGCTCATCTTGGGCTGACCAGATGATGCCACAAGCACTTTTCGCTCTCCCCGATCTACCCTTCCAAGTCGTCGTAAGAAGAGGTAACCATGGTAAGAAAAACTAAGTGTAACTACATTCTCATTTTGATTAGATTTCCACATTCCTCAAATCACCGAGTTAAGCATCGGAAGGTCATAGGAGTGTCAAGCCTCGGTACCTTCTAATTGTTTTTTTAGCGAACTCCACCAACAAATCCCCCGACAAAAGAATCAAGGGAGCCCCTACAAACCCTGAGCTCTGGCAACTTTTTAACAATTGTTTTCTCTCCCAAAATATTCCTAAAAGAAATATTCTACAACTTAATATACGAAAACACATTTTTTTTTTTAAATTAGAAATTTTGCGGACTAGTAGTCATGAAAGAGAAGACTGTAATCTCATTCACAAGATGAAAGAAACAATAGGAGCTGATAACCATAATTCAGCTAGAATGCAATCATCTCTCAATTGGACGAGAAGCGTGACTTGTATTTAACTTACAAAATTTTCTGAGTTTTCTTATAAACGCAATGACACGAATCCAATTAGGGGAAATTAGCAACTTTCTTGATTCCACTACAAGGGAACATTAGCTTTGGCTAACAGCAAACGCTTCATGATGCCAAGGGCCCCTGCATCTAAGAAGAACTAGCTTACTCCGCTTCTACGAGCCTTTGTCGAAGCTCTTGTGGGCTTGATAGTTTGTTGACACTGAGGAAAAGCAAAAAACATCGTGACGCTCAGCATTAGATTTGTAATCACTTTTCAACCATACAAAATAATTTTACGCAAGTGTTAGACCTACTCAGTGTACCATACACCGAAGCAATGGCTTCTTATCTATATCTATATCTATACTACATATAAAAGAGGATTTCTTTGTCAAAATTTTTTATTTCCATTTTTGCACTTTTAAGTTTGATAATTCTCAAATATGTCATTAGTTGTAATTAATCATCACTAATTATATACAACCTCTTATTAATTATGCATTTCCTCACTTTTTCAAAACCTTTGGTCACACTATTTTTTATTATTTAATTATGTTATTTAATAGAAATTTGAAATTTAGCCCTGATTTATCGTCACATGTTATTTAAAAAATTTTAAAAATAATAAAAATTTATTAGGCTTATGATTTAACCCTTTGGGTTTCACCTCTTATGGGGGACTACTTGTTACCTTTCATCTTGTCAGCCTTTTAAAAGTATGATAATAGTATACTGTAAATGTAATAGTATTAATAGGATAATGATTTTAATAGTATTTTTTTAAAATTAATAAATCGCACTATAATTTGATAACTATACAATTACTAAATTATGTACTACTAGTGTAATAAACTAATTATGAAATTAAAATGTAGCTACCAATAGTATTATAATTACATTGTGTATAATATTATTATATTTAAAAGAGAAGAAATTATTTAACATATTATAATAATTTTAATAAATTATAAATAAATTATAATAATTATCCAAACTATAATAATTAATCGTACAGTCCATTATACAAAATTTAATCGTACAATTTGTTTATTTAAATAAAATTGTACTTGTTCAAATTTTATATTGCTATATAAGTCATTTCGTTATTTTGTAGCCAACAAATTTTTTTTTTGAAAAACATTAAAACAAAACAGGTAGACTCTCGTGCAAAGCACGTGCACTATACTAGTGCTTAATAAAAACACATTAAAGCTTACCTATATAGGATGTCACCAGTTGATGCAATCTTCTTAGAGATCCAATCTGGAATTAGTTCTTGCAATAGTTTCAGCTGTTCGTCAACTTCACCTATAAGATCAAAAGTTCGAGGGTTAGCCGCTGCATATATTAACTTGACTTTGCAACGGATAAGCAAACTGATACCCAACTAACAATTTCTCATTACCTTTGTCAACAATTTTACAATTATTTGCAATTAGCTTGTGAGTAAGTTCTTCCTTTGTCATAACAGATCGATTTATTGACTGAAATATTAGAAGTATCATGTCAAAAGTAGTAGGCAAGCCTGCAATTAGCTTTTGCCGTTTCCTTGCTTCAGCAACACCAGCATCCTTCTCCACTAATGCTTTTCTCTCCTTTTCCCTTACCTATAAATAATTATCAGAGTCAGCGACATGACCTAAATAACCAATGGTGCATATAAATAAATGTTTATGATGTAACATAAGATTATCGAAAGAGTTATACCGATTGCAAGAGAGACTGAGGTAGAAAATGGAGAACGTCATCAATCACTGATGAACTCTCTGCTTCAGTCTCTTCATCCAATTTTGTTGCGCTCTTTTTTGGTGTGTTAAATAATAACTTGGTTTGAGTCGATCGCCTAGTTGACCTCTTCAGTGGTGTGGTATCACAATCCATTGGAGGTCGTTGTCTCTTTGGAGTTTGAATATCTGGAGTGGCAGACATTAGCTTTGATGGAGTGCAAATTAGTTTGGCTGGTGTTCCCTCTAAAGCATTTACTTCTTTCTGAGAAATGCTTTCAGGCATTACGTCTATTTTGGGTTCTTCTTCATGAGTTGTAAGAGCGTTGGATGATGGAGAGATAATTGGGCAACCAAACAATGATTTCCTTCTTAAGGGCAGTCTTGAAATGTGTTTCATAGGAGATGGAGCAATAGGGTCGAGAGAACTGTCTTTAAGAGGTGAACTGTCATGGCATGTGAGAGAAGTTTTTTGTGCATCTGAGATGGGTACTTTCTGAGAAAATCTCCTTTGGAAAGATCTAGAAATATGAGAAGGCACTGCGAGTTCATGTTGAGAATGAGTATTGGCTGATGAGGAAATAATTGGAGGGATGGCTGAGTGTCTTAATCCATTTGAAATGTTGGTTTGCTTTGTTTGGCTGAATGGATGCGGAAGTTGCTCTTCCGGAATGTCATATCCCTGGAAAGAAAATGACGCAGAATTAGTACCCAAATTTATAAGTCAACATGCTTCTAGAGTAAAAGTTTTAGGCCTGTATTGTGCCTGGAACTTGGTACTGATTTCAAGATATGCAAAGAAGGAGAACAGAAAAATTGAGGAAGATTGAACATCAGAGAAAATATTATTAACAATTTGTAGGCAGTTAGGATCTAGCAATAAAAAAGTAATCTCCATAATAAAAAAATCACATTTGGTGATAACTTAAGTCAAAGAGAAAATATCTAGATCAGCACTGGTGCTATATAACATATCTACCAGATAATGGGCACACTCGAAACCTAATTACATCCACCATAAATATTCTATACGTATAGAGATGACCATATCACGATATGTGATTGATTTTTGAAAGATTCAAATGCCCAGGACTATCATACCGATCAACTTCGTGCTTAATCGACAGTGAAATCGGCTAGAATATTACATGGCATTCAAACTCCCAACCGCAATTTTTAATAAGATGCTCAACATATAGCATAAAACCATACTTATAGGTATCGATGGCGAAAAATTTAAATGCCTGCACAGCAGTACAACAGTATTGGCCAATTTCATGCTTGAACATCAACAGAGTTGCCTAAAGTCCAACATGACACTAGAACATACATTTAGGGTAGATCCTGAACTGTGTCATCACTATTTCATAAATAATACATGGTAACTTGGATTTATAGAGAAGGGTGCAAGGAAAGTTACCTCTGGGTGTCTCTTTGAAAAATCCACAAGCCTTTCTCTAAACACTCTTCTCAAGACTGAGTACCCACTCTCTCCTTTCTCCTTCGCAGTTTCCTCAAATGCGGAAAGTTGGAGAGCGACATGAAGCTCGGGCTTCACACAACTCGTAACCTCATCGTGCAAGTTCATATTCTTGATTACAATAGCCTCCGGCAAAATATGCTTCAATTGGGCCAAATGCCCACGTGTAAACCTCCTACATCATCAAACCCGATAACAAATTATAAATTTCAACTTCAAACCCCAACTAAGGAAACGTAAATCTCGTCAATTAGAACAAAGTCTGTACCTTTCAGTCAAATTCTGAATGCTAGCAGAGATATTAGCAAATGTAGGCGACGATCCCTTCATTCTAAGCAATCGGATCGAGCTCTCCATGGAATTAAAAAACTCCGCCAACATCTCACACCTAAAGACCCAACAAATCTAAACAAATTCAGCATAAGCCCTACATCCTAAAATTAACAAAACTTCCCTTAGAATTGATTAAAAAAAGCTTACTTTTCAGGCAGTTTGAAGGGGGTTTTAGCCCTCAAGGGCTTACGAACTTCTGCCGCTAACAGATCCGTATCGGATCCAGCAAGATCCGATTGATCCGAGGACTGTCTGGTGTTTCTCTGGAGTCCTTGAGCGATCTGCTTAACTTCTTTGATCGATAAGGCCATTCTCCGGTTGCGGGTTCGAGGGGCGCCATGGATCGGCTTCTCCGGCGTC